TAGGATAAGTTGAAAAAATTACAGCTTAATTAGAAATAATGTGCAATAAAAATATTCTGCTCACAAGCAATATTTTCCTTTTTTTACAGTATAATTATGGCAGAAACGAGGAACAGTAATTTGTGTAAAATAATCTACAATTAACTTTCACAATAAAAATGTTTAAATGTATTTTGATTATTTAAAAAATATATATTTTAGGATTGAATCATAGTTTGAGAGGTATTTTTTCAGTTTTAATGTGACCTTCATATGAAATAGTTTTAAACCTGTTATCATTATTTTTTTTAAATCAACTCATATGACAAAATAGTGCATATTTGAAGAAACACATGCAAATTATCTACAGATGTGTGAGTCTGCTCTGGTAGGCCTATATGATAAATTACTCTACAGGCTCAGATTACACTGACTGCCAGAGGATAAGTTATACAATTTCCAGAGACATCATCTAGATGGATGATGATGACTTTTCTGGGACTAGTCACTTCCTGGCACTGAGCCATTGATTACATGACACCAACCGCTGTGACAGAAGACCTTAACAAGCACCATCACACTGACAAGAACAGAGCAGGCACAATAAACAAGGTCACAGCATCTCTGGTTTCTGCAAAAGTCAACTTATCAGCACAAATGGATCACACCTTTGTACAGTTTTATAGGCTTGGACTTGAATTTTGTTTTTTTATCTTGGTAAGGGATACTATTTTTGATTACTGTTTAGATGACATTCATATCGTGGATGTTTAGAAAGGTGTGGAAAAGCACATTCAGTGAGAGAGATAGAGAGAGTGCGAGCATCTTTTGGCATGCAGCAGAGCAGTCGAGTGCAGATGACACGCAGAGAAGAAGAGCTGAAGAGTGCTGATGAGATCTGCCTCAGTCTATATGCAGAGAAAAGAAGAAGGAGCACGGGAACCGATCAGAAAGCAAAATGCTCATTCCAGTGCAGCTGTCTCGTTGTCGTGTTACAGGAACAGAAACAATGAAAGTCGAGGTCAAACTCAAAAACTTGAATGCATGATGGTAAGCAGTCAGGCTCATGCTGTAAGAGTAACTCAAATGCAGCTGGAGCACATATACACACGCGTCTGTCGTGTCGTGTGTATATATTCAGAAGGAAGGAGATTTGAGAGCGTGATCCTTTGCTGTGGCCACAGGCCGGTGCCGCCCACCCCAACCCTCTTTTCAACACTCACCCAGCAAAGGAAAAGAAGTTAAAATGGCCAAGAAAGAATTTACAAGAGACAAAACAAACAAACAAACAGGAAGGGACGGTCAAGCATTTGGTTAATTGCTTATCTGTTTTTCCAAAGAGCCTGTTTGTTGAGAAAAAGTCATGCAAATCTGAATTGAGAGTTTGTTTTCATTTTTTGTTCTTTGAGTTTCTGTCTCTCTGTTTTTTGCATGGATACAGGTAAACGTTCGAGTATATCGCCCGCTTTTGGGAAATGTGTGTTTGTTTAAAACTGATTTGAGTTTTTTCTCTCTCTCTTTGCTCTGGATGTTTGCATGCCAGATTACTATCCACTGTCTCCCCCACGCTGTCCTTCAAAGAAAAAATAAGCTTGATGGAAAAACTGTATAATTAAAACCAAAAACCAAAAAAGACTTCTTTACTCAACAAATATTTCCCAAAGACGTCTGAAATGAAAATAGATCTACACAGAAAGACTTGAAAGCAGACAAAGTGATAAGATGCAGGTAAGGAGAGGAAGTAGTTAACAAAGCAGTGATGAAATAATGACTTGAATTTGAATTTGAATTTGTAAGAATGCATTCAGAAAGGTTTATGCATAAAGACTGTAAAAGAGTAATCGCTGGACCTATTTTCACTCTTTATAATGAGTAAGTAATGAAGCTGGTCAAATATGACAATATCTAACTGCTGACTTTAATTTGACAATCTATATTTAGAAGTGACTGTAAATGCTCTAAATCATACAGTGCAGTTCTCTCAATTTAAAGAATTTCAAATTGTGTCCTATTAATGTAATGTATTAATGTAAACTATCTACATTTTTTCTCTCTTTTTGCCAAACTTCAAACAAGGTTTATAAGGAGTTATTTTTAATTACAGCAATAGGTGTATTTTGTATTGGTATTCTTTTCCATAATTTATGATTTATCTCACATATCTCACATATTTGCATCTTGAACAATTTAACTATGGTGAACTTTATGAAATGATACAATATTACACATTTAGCAATGCACTTTATAAAATGCACTGTATAATCTGATGGCAGAATTCACACAGTGACACAGTCTATGAATATGATTATTTTTTATCAGATGGTAGTAATCAAAGCTAGGAAAATTTTAATAAATTAGCGTCGCTTGGACATTTCCACTTATATTACAATATATTCCACTGACTGATAGTGAGCATCTGTTTTGAGCAGTGAACCATTACCGTACAAGGCAAATGTTTGAGCAAATGAGTGAGATAAACATGAATCTATCAGTGACAGCACTGCGTCTCTTCTCAACATCTGGGTTACAATGTGCACCCATCTTACAAAACCTAAAATGAAAACAAACTTGATCCATAGATCTGTCAAATATTTTTAAACAAACATTTGTATGTGAGACAGCTGTGAGGGAAAAAAAACTAATTTTTGGAGAGCTGTGATTAATGATTGATCTAAATATAGTGTTTTCTTCTCTGAAGAGATACAATGCTAGCATAGAATGATTTTCAAAGATATGCATATAATATATAATATATACATCATAAATGAATAAAAATACTACATTTAGGCAAAGATATCAACACACTAACATCTACTAAATGTTTCTGTAGTATGATTTTTAACATGAGGTTGACAGAATGATGTTTAAACTAAAGTTAATGTTTGCAAATCTCAGTCAAGGCCAAAGAAAATTTTGCATGAGAAAAACAACAAAATGATATGTATAGGGCTGAAAAAGAAGACTGGAGTGAGTAGTGGCACATTTCACCCATATAATCACAGAATGAAGAATGTGATGAAAAATGTACAGATACACATGAATCACATCACAGAGCAGTCAGACGCAATGATATGGTAGTCGTGACTAACATTTCTAGCCTGAAAAAAATATATATATATATATATTTTTTTTTTTTTTACAAAGATGGAGAAATAGTTGGGGAAAAAATCTATAAGCATTGACAAAAATTTAGTTAGTCCACTATTCTCAGCAAGAAAACATATAATACACACATTCTTAAAATCTCTATTAAAGTGCTATTAGGGTGTATAAAGCATTGTTCTGGGTTCAAAACAAGTTGAAAGAATAGTTCACCCAAATTGTAATTATTACTCTTTAAATTACCATTCTGTCATCATTTACTCACCCTCATTTTGTTCTAAACCTCTATGACTTTATTTCTTCAATGGAACACGAAAGCACATATTTATAGCTAAATCCAAGTCCAAGCCCAAACTTCCATACAATGAAAGTGAATTGTGACCATCCAAGCACTTCAAAGGTTTTTTTTTAATACTTAAATGTTGGTCTGTTCCTCTCACAATGCTGTTTGGATATAGTGTGTATGCTACTTTTAGAATGCTTTTAATGAAGAACTTGGTCACCATCCACTCTCATTATATGAAAGAACAGCATGAACATTCTTTAAAACTTATTGCATGTTTCACATATGAAAGAAAGCCATTCAGGTGGGGAACGCCATGAGTTAGTAAAGTATTTTTAGGACAGAATTTTTACTTTTGACTCTATTGACAGCATATGTAATCTTTGATAGTTTTTATAAACTGACGGACAAGCTGATAATATTTTCAACAGAATTACACAGATGCTAGAGCTGAACTTATTTTGAACACTTGTTTTGATTCCTTTAAAGAATGATATCTAGAATGTACTATGTTTGATGAAAGAATGAAATGAAAGACTGTTTGTTAGTTTAGAAGAGTTTAGAAGATGCATACAGAGAAGAGAACATGAGACGGGTAAAAATAGATTTAAGCCATGAACCATGTGAACCATGGGACAGAGAAAAAGACTGTGAGGATCTGTGGAAGAGAGATGAAGTCAGTAGCACAGGGACATTAGAGGATGCTTTCACACAGTCTTATGATGAAAGTTACAAGATGCATTATCTGGAAAAAAGTAACAGAGGGAAAGAGAATGAGAGAGAGAGAGAGAGAGAGAGAGAGAGAGAGAGAGAGAGAGAGACCTATCAGAGGGAGAAGAACCTTATAGGGCTTATACTCGAAGGTTTACCCCTGTGTAGGCTCAAAAGCCATAGCAGTGCAGCACATTGAGTACCTCTGCTTATACTGTAAAACCTCATCTTTTTAGCAAACCACGCTAACAGAAGCCTCTCGGCAGTGAGTGCCGTGTTCTCTCTGTATTTTTTCTGTGGATTTTAGGACTAAATTCAGGTTTAGATACAGGTTATTCTTGCCAGGTTATGTCCAGACATAATTTTTTAAAAATAATTAATTGTAAAAGCAATTATTTAATTATTTCAAGCAATTATTAAATTATGTAATATTTATCAAAGTCATGTCTTGTATGTTATTTTAATAGTCATGTCTTATGTGATATATTATGTTCTCCAAATGTTTTTAACAAATCTTTAAGAATACGTTACTTTAAAGCTGAAGTGTGTCATTTTTGTTGATGTTAAAATCCTATTATAGTCCAAAATATCAATAGACAACTATAAACGAGTCATCTGTAGATTGATTTATCCAAAAAGTGCAACAAGTGTTTCTCTGTGGTGCAATTAAAACAATACTGAGATTAAAAATATGGTTGAGCCAATGGCATTGGATTGGGGGCAGGACTATCTGTTTGTCCAACCAGTGGTTCATGTTTATGAAATCTGATCAGTCATTATTTTTGCAATTGCATTTGCTCAAAAAAAAAAAAAAAAGCAACCACTTCAGCTTTTAAAAAAATTAATCAAATTTAAAAAAAAAAAATTTCTGCTGTGCACTCAACACTAACGCTGATTTATTTTGTACACATTCTGTTGTAGGTAATAGGTTTAGTTTTGGACAGAGAGAAGGCAGAGAATGGCTTATCGAGAGACGGGGATTTGAAAACAAAACCAACACCTTTAGACAACAAAGAAGAACCCAACAGCAAGAGAAAAGGCCCGACACAGCAAGACAGCACACAGAAATCGAGAGAAGGAGATGAGGGACTTGGGGAGGAGACACAAACAGCGGCCCATAGAGGATCAGTCAAAGCCAGACAGGCCATCTTGCAAAGAGCCACTCAATCACAGAGAGACGACTACACAGAAGGTTTCAAATACAGAACAGAAGTACCACGGCACACACGATGAGGTGTTTCATGTGCTGCTGTGTGTGAGGAGAAATGCTTGGTGCGTGTGTGAGTGTGTTTGTAAGAGTTTTGATATTTTGTGAGTGTTTCTGAGTGTCGTGTCTGACACAGGTAGGGAAAGCAGGGAACTCACTCCCGGGAGCGGCGCTTGCATTGGCAGTGGAGAGAACTACATGAGTGGGGGTAGAAATATTGGTTACGTCATGGAGCTGGCTGAGCACTGAGGATCGACGTCTCACTGCACCCTGAAACGAACCACTTCTCTTGAACGTACTCACTACCTCCATCTGCAGGAGAGAGAGAGAACCACATCATATACACACTTCAGAGAAAGAAAGAGAGAGAAAGAGTAACAAGGAAGGAGCAGAGCGAGGAGAATATATGCTTGTGATACTTCACCAGGCAGGAGAAAACAAAGCTATGCTGGCATTGTGTACTAAGGGGTACATCTTTAAACATTAAAAGGATAGCTCACCCAAAAATGAAAATTCTGTCATTATTCACTCCCCCTCTTGTTGTTCCAAAACCATTTGCTGTTATTTTTAACACATTTTTTTTTTGTTCAGTCTGTTCCTCACACAAAGCGGCTGACTAGCTACTTGGAAAGCACATGGCATTTTTGTCCTTTTTGGGACTTCACAAACATGGGAACCAACATAATTAATTAAGAGTTTCTCTTTTTGTATTCCACAGAAGAAAAAAAGTCATACATAAAACAACATGAGGCTGAGTAAATGATGACATAATTTTAATTTTTGGGTAAACTACCCCTTTAAGGATCTGCAACCAGGATCATAATGAAAGTCATGATGAAATTATAATTGATCCAATTTACTTTCTTAGTACATGGTCTGGGTCTTATTGAGAATAATTTATTGGTGCATAATATAACAAAAAAAAAGGCTTTATAATCATTCATCAAAATGTAATAACTAAAACAACTTTTCGCTGACCACCAAGACCTGTCATATCAAGATTACTTTCCACTATTCAGTTATTTTCCATATCACATCCAATATCACATTCACTCAAGAAAAAATAAATTGGTTGCAAGCGGCGTTTCATATTCACTGTAAAGAAACACGCTGCCTTAATTTGTCAGTTAATTTAACATGATTCTGTTCTGTTTTTCCACAAATAGAATGTGGATGTCACTGCAGCATTCTTTTGTTTCTAAATGGCTTTGTTAAAATATCAAATAGACTGCACAAGATAAGTTCACTGAACATCACTTTGTAATAAAAGCTAACACAACAAATGGATACCTCTGCAACCACACCACCCCAAATGTTTCACTTCTCTGAAACTCTATGCGCTGAATCAATTTTACATGCAGCCCTTAAGAGCAAGCTGAACCATGCCAAACCAAAATGGGAAATGCTGTGAGAATATGCAATCAGCTTGCATAAGACCTCATCGATAATTCATCTGCAAATACCCTGTGTCAAAAACACAACACTGAGAAATGGAGGTGCTCTCCTCATTGGAGCCAACGCAGGATGAAACCCGTGATTAGATTAGGCTGACTGATGATATGAGGTCAGCCGCTATAATGTGTGTTGTGTTTTGCCTACTCAGTGTCGAGCAGTGAAGGAATCAATGGAAACCTTGTAAGGAGCTTTACAAGCACTTCAGAAATCCATACCGGGCATTCCAAATTTAAAAAAATAAATATCTATATAATGCTCTACTATCCCATCAAGTCTGTTCACTGATGGTGTATATTGGCAAGAACATGGCCAAAAGAGTGAGTGCTGCATCATGCATGCATGTGCTCTGAGAATGTTCTATTATAAAAGCTCTTTCTAAAGTTACAGTGCCATAAACCAACAGGCACCATGACCCACCTCCTCTACGCCTGCTGACCTTCAATATCACATATGTACCTAGCACAGTTCTGATCAAGAAACAAAAGTAATACTAACTCACAAGTCACACGTGCACCACACAACAGATCCTTCCACAAAGATGCTACTAAGTATAATAATTTAAGGAACCAGCAGATGACAATTCTATGCAAACCCAAAAAAAGAGAAAAATCTCACTTAAAGTCATGGATGGAGTCCAGACTGAGAACTATAAGTATAAGCATAAGTATAGTTCAGTTCAGTATAATTCAGTGTACTCAATGAAATTAATTAAGCATTGGCCTCAAATCAAACTACTTCAACAATCCAAAAAAAAAACATGTGAGCTGAGTTTCCATGAAGGTTGAAAATTGTAGAGATAAAGAGATAGTGAACAGAAAATGGAAAGAGAAACAAGATAGTATAATACACAATTGGTTGATTATATATATAGAGATCAAATCAAAACAATAACTACTTCTAATATATTCACCCTATATTGTAATTAAGTTAGGCACATTTATGATAATGTTATGAGCTTTGATGTGTAAGATAGGGATGCACTATAAAACAGCACCATATCAGTAGATATTAGAGGTTAATTTTATTGTATCAGCAGATACACTACCGTTCAAAAGTTTGGGTCAGTTTTTTTTCCCTGAAAGAAATTAATAATTTTATTCAATAAGGACAAATTAAATTAATCAAAATGACAAATGATAAAGACAATTAAAATGTGAAAAGGTTTCTCTTTCAACTATATGCTGTTCTTTTGGAATAAATTACATTTTAAAATATGTTAAAACGGGGAAAGAAATCTATTTTAAATAATAATAATATATATTTTTTATGTTTTTACTGCATTTTTGATCAAATAAATGTAGCCTTGGTAAGCATAAAACAGTTAAAAGACATGAAAACTTTTTAAAAAATCGTACTGACCCCTTTATTTCATACTCATACTCAATATCAGCCACAACATGAAAATAATTGACAGCTTATCATATTGACCAGATCTTAAATATTGGTGCATCCCCAGAGTCAAACATTGTTCAGATCCTCATCAAATCTTTCAAGCTCTATCAAGTCTGAGGAGCAACATTCTCAAGTCCCATGTAGCGTGTCGGGATGCGTCTGATTCTGTGCTGTGACTCTGAGCCAAATGAGTTACTAAGCAATAAATTAGGACTTTAAAGGACTCGAGTTACATAATAGAGTGACAAAACAGAGCTCTGAGCAGGGAAGGGGGGAGGGAATGTTATACATTCTTGTTGGGGGAAATCTATACGCAAGTGAAGGGTCCCAACAGTGGGAAGCAGAGATAAAGACAGATTAGCGAAAGAGAGGAGGAAAGAGAAAAGGAAGAAGGCAAGGATGAACTAATGTTGGTGATTCAGAGAGGGTCTAGAGAGAACGGAGAGAGTAGAGGAGGAAACGAAAGGAAAAGCAAAAGAGCATTCTTTGAGGAGACAAAAGTTCTACTGTCTGTGGAAACCATCTTACGTGACTAGTGAGGGATTGATTGGTCAGAGGTAAGGGGTCGCATGCACAGCACCTGAGTCTGGATACGGTTAAGGCCTCTAAACCAGAGGATCTGCCCCCTGCGTAGCTCTCTCTCAGCGTGGTCTATCTCCTCCTCATCGTCGGCCAGCTCGTCCTCCGTCATCTCGTCTGTCCCTGGCCCATGGCCGGCCTCCTTCAGACACTTCAGGTGACTAGTGGGCACTGTGGCTATCACCTGAGATGAAAAGAAGAATTAGTTTAAAAGGAGTGGAATGACTGATACTGTATGATCAGAGGCATGCACAAGGGGTGGGTGCAGGGGGGCTCGAGTTGAGGTGTGCTAAAGTGCCCTTTCGGTCCGATCTAGGTGCCCCCCGGACCGCAATTGTGCCCTTGTAATGCCATTTCACCCTGCCCCTCCGGAGGTTTTGTGCACACCACTGTGTATGATGGTGAGCAGTGCTTGATATACAGTATATAAAATACATCTGGAAATCTGGAACTGATTGAAACTGAATTAGACACACTCCCTATTACCAAAACTCTGCCCTACAAAGATATCGCTGAGACGGTCATACGCATATATTGATGGCTTTGCAATCACAGAAATAAATTACACTTTAAAATATATTAAAATAGAAAACAGTTACTTTAAATTGTAATATTACTGTAATTTTGATCAAATAAATGCAGTTTTGCTGAGAATGAGAGACTTTAAAAACATAAAAAATAAAATATTTGAAGATGGAAAATTTTTGAACGGTAGCATATTGGATATTGCTCTTTTACCCATGTTTCATCCTGTACAATTATAATGTTGTGATGTGTAAATTCCCTTAATTAACTGATTTTAGTTTTTAGTGTTTTATTTTTAATTTATTTAGACAAAATAGTCTAGATTTTTACTGACAAACTTAACATTAAACTAATTATCAGCTTATCATATCTGCCAGATCTTTAATATCGTCACAATCATTGTTCAGCTCTATCAAATGTCTGACCAATATGTATATATGTCCGAGAAACCACATTCTCAATTCCCATGCAGCTCCAGGATGGTACTATGGCCAAAAATACATAGACACTAATTAAATGTACTGCCATTCTATCAGATTTATTTATGGAATGAACCACTCCCCTCTTCCCAAAACTCCACCCTACAAAGAATCCGCTGAGATGTCAGAAGTGGCGGCAGCAAAATAACATTCTTGTGAGACAAAACTGAAAAATGCTTATGAAGCTGGAGTTGGCGCTTAACTTGCAAGATCCAATTAATCTACCAAGCTCTCAGCTTCCTGCTGCCCATATTTGGACTGCCCTATGAATATGCAAAATGACAGGCAGAAGGTACCTTAAAAAACTTGGCTTTGAGTGGTTAGACAATGAGCCTGTGGTCTGTGATATTTTCTAAGTATTCTATTAAAAATCGCTTTTAGCACCTTTTACGGGCTTGCCTATTTTGGCTACACCAATTTACGATACTTCAAGATGCATAAAATTGATCATACATCCACTGACAAATATTCACAGTAGGATGAGACTCAAAGAGCTCTTACATCAATAAAATGCTGTACTGTGGAAGAACTTGAACCCAATTGAACACCCGTGGGATGAATTTGGGATGAGCCAGACCTCATTACCCAATATCAGTGCCTGACCTCACTGATGCTCTTGTGTCTTAATGGGAGCAATTTCAGAAAGCTATGTTCCAACATCTAGTACAAAAAAGCCATCCCTGAAGAGTAGAAACTGTTGTAGCAGTAAAAGGAGGACTAACTCCCAATTAATAGACACTGGTTTAAAATTAATCGCATGTGGCACATTTGGGTGTGGAGTTTGGGTGTTCACATACACTGTATAATACAATTGAAAAGGAAAGTATATTGAATGCACACAAAATAATTAACATTTATTTAAATATTTTCTTAAAGTTCACAAAAAATATATTGAAACATCTAGGCAGCATAACCACTTGTGTTTATAAGGCAGTCTAGCACAGTTATCAGCTGATGCAATATTTTCAAAATGGACAATTATCAGACGTTGGATTCTTTGGGGAAAAATAGATGTCATATCCGTAAGAATTTTGAAAAATCTTAAACTTGATTAAATACTCGATACCTTCAGTTACACAAATATTGTCTTTCATAGTTGTTCTCCTTATTTGTTCTTTGTGTCTCTTGCTCTCCTACCTGACCCCACAGCAATTCTCCAACTCCCACAAAGAGGCACCACAGCCATTGCTCCACATTGAGAGGGGCACAGCTGAAGGGCTTGCCCCCAAACTGCACAATCACAATCTGCACACAGATCAACAACAAACAACCAAACATAGTCAACACCAGCTTACTCAGCACAAGCACCCAGTACATCAGTTACCCTCTCATGTCACCTTTCATACAACCTCATGGACAGGCCCAGATAGAATTCTGATTTCAAAAATAGTCTGTATAAATCTGTTGATTGGATTTATCGGTATAGTTCACCCAAAAATGTTATTTCAAGCCTGTGTGCATTTTTGCATGCATTTTTCTCAGTGGAACATAAAAGATGATATTTTGAAGAATATATATATAGGCCTACATAAATAGTATATTAATAAACTAACAGACAAGGGGTGAGAGACATGCAGAACTTTGTTAATGATGGAGTTCAAATTCTGCAGAAATCTGGAGAATCTGCTCAAGGAGCATAAAACAAACAGTAGCTCTGACCTGCACTCCAAATGTTCCCAGAACAATGCTGCAGAAGATAGGGTTCCCAAAGATGCCGTCGAACACGTTCCTTTCACCGTGAATTTTGCGAGCATTGATCTCGTTGAAGAGCTGCATCAGGACAAAGGTGTTGAAGATGATGGTGTAATGTTCAGACGGGGGGGAGTGTAAGGGGGCGTTACGGCCACTGTCGATGTTGAAGATTTTCTCTCCTTGTTAGGATGAAAGAGATGAAGGCATACAAAATTAAGCCGTCCTTAAAACCTTTAAAGGTGCAATCAGTAGGCACTCATTGTTTCACCTTTAGACTAGTCACTTATGCTAGCATTGCTCTCATTCTCACAGCTTCTGCTAAATGAATATGTACATATATGTAACATATCTGAGACTATAATGTTATAATTGAGCTGTAAGCTGTTACACTTTCAGTTAAGACTTTCATCTGAATTATTACTGTATTATTCATCATTTAATAAATAATGCAAAACAACATTGATTCTTGAACTCTCTGTCCCACCAACAAACAGCAGGGTGAAGATGATGATGAGCTGATAGACTCCATGACCCAGGATGTTCTTCATCATTGTGAGCGAGATGAGGGGGTTGTTGCGGCCGTAGGGTTTCCTAAGCAGCAGAGCTTCGGTTGGTGGCTCAGTGGCAAGAGCCAAAGAGGCAAATGTGTCCATGATCAGATTAACCCACAACATCTGTACTGCTTTTAGTGGAGAGTCCTACACACAAAAACACAGAGATGAATGAATAATGAACTGATGAAAGTAGTGAACTAAACTCTTAGCCAGTGAAGTGTGTGCAGTACCACCGGTCTCCAGCAGGGCTTAGTGGCTGGTTTAGTTACAACTTCCTTTTGCTATGAGTTTGAGAGGTGCAATGCAGTCAGTTCTCCTAATCCACATGATGACAGAGCTATCAGCGATCTAGAGTGGCAGTGGCCGGCTGTCTAACACTTACCGCAACGCTACATGCTAAAACAAACAACACTGATCTGAGGAGTAGATTTGGGGGGATGCAATGTTTAACTTGTCCCCCCTTTACTTTATTTAAAAAAAAAGGAAATATCTTTTACATTGAGGCACTTCCAATGGAAGTGAATGAATCAGTGTTAAAATACTCAGTTTGAACTGTATAGCCACAAAACGTAAACAACATAACATGAATTTAGTGTGAAAAATACTTGCTAACATTCTCTGTGTAAAGTTATTTCCAATTTTACAACTTCATTGCCATGACAACCTGACAGCTAAAATGATTAAAATAAAGAGCACCTAAAATTACACATTTTAACAGAAAAATGACTGCTAGTGCTTTTTTAAAAGTATAAGTTTCACATTTCTGCTTTTAAGTCCTCAAAAAAAATTGGCCCAGTTGTAAGTGCATCACCACAACCCGGAATTTTGAGGAGGTAATCAACATTATACCACAAATCCTGTCGATTGTGCTTAACTTGTGTGTGAGTCAGTGTTGTTATCGTTAACTAAAACAAAAAATATTAAAATATTTTCGGTTATTGAAATAAAGAGGAAATAAAATAAATTACAAATATTACATAAAAACTTGAACTTAAAAAAACGAATAAATAAATAAGTTGAAGCAATAAATTACTAAAACTAAAATTTAAATGAAAACTAAAAAACTAAAAATATTAATGAATACTATAATAGCATATTAATAATACTAAAATTACAGTGGTTTGAGTGTGTGTTCTACCTGTGTAATGCAGGCCCCGGTGAAAGCTACCGTGACGGCCACTATATTGACAGTAAGCTGAAACTGCAGGAACTTGGAGATGCTGTCATACACATTTCTCCCCCACATGACAGCCTTCACAATGCTGGAGAAGTTATCATCGGTCAGGATGATGTCCGAGGCTTCTTTAGCTACATCAGTGCCTGCTATACCCTGGAGACGGCAAGAGAGAAAGACCAAGAGGTTTAGGTAATAAATACATCAGAGTCAGATTCATTGGAGAAAAGTGGCTTTTATTCACTGGATATCTTCCTATGTTATCATACACCCTTGTTGGGTGAACATTATATAAGTAGAGCTTCTAATAAATCAATATTCATCTCTTACAATTACTCATCTCTTAACTACCTCTTGGATGAAAGGATGAATATATGAATAGATCAGTGGGAAGTGTTCATCAGATGTGCTTACCATCGCAAAGCCCACATCTGCCTTCTTGAGAGCCGGCCCGTCATTGGTCCCATCACCAGTTACGGCCACCACCTGTCTCTGCTCCAGCACAGTGCTGTCAATGATGCCTACACAATGGCATCATCACACAGCAAACAATTACCAGCTAGCACATAACCTTGACCAATCACTGAATACAACTACTGTCACCACAGAACATGACAACTGACTGTATGTTACGCCTTACTGAGTGTCAAATTTATTTTTCAATAAGTCAGTCATTTTTTAAAGAAATACTTTAATTCAGCAACGATGCATTAAACTGATCAAAAATACACAAAAATATTTAGCAGCATAACCGTTTTCAACATTGATAATAATAAAAAGTGTTTCTTGAGCACCAAATATTCATTTTAGAATGATTTCTGAAGGATCATGTGACACTGAAGACTGGAATAATGCCTGCTGAAATTCAGCTTTGCCATCACAGCAATAAATGACATTTTAAAATATAATGAAACAGAAAACAGTCATTTTAAATTTTCATAATATTTTAGTGTAAGTGCTATAATATTTTACAATATTAATTACATCAGCAGATTTGGTTGGCATGAGATACTTATTTTAAAAACATGAAAAAAAAATCTTACAGACCCCAAATTTTAAACAGTAATGTAAGTTTCTTGTGGTCTTGAAATCTTTTAATCTAGACGTCTCTTTGATCCAAGGTGTATAGAGTTGTTGGCAATGGATTACGATTTTGAGTAAAAAAATGGTCACACTTTATTTTAAGGTCCAATTCTCACTATTAACAAACCATGACTTTTGCCTCAATAAACTCCTAATTTGCTGCTTATTAATAGTTAGTAAGGTAGTTGTTAAGTCAAAGTCCCTTTAAGGCAAGCCATTTCACTCAGCGGCCATCTTTGAAACGCCTCTCGGGAATGCAAGTGCAGCTCCTATCTCTCTGAATGGGGAAACATCAAATTCTCCAAAACTGTTCACCAAGCTTACAATTAAATTTCATATTTGAAATCACCAATGAAATCTGACAACAACTGTCTCATAAATTATGTTTCTTTTGCTCAAATAGTTTTCAGGCTAGACCAGCCAGTGCGCATGCACAGTCCAAAGTGTGCACCTCAGAAAGTTGAATGTTTCTATAGCGACCAGGACTTCTAACGGCAGCTGCAGTGACGCAATGATTTTACCGATTAGCTCTTTTATTCAGAAGGCGGGGATTCCTTTGATGGAGCAGCCATATTGAGCGTTGCATTTTTCCCAATTTAAAACTATACGAGTGACACATCTAGGCTATTCTTTAGTCTTTGGTTAAGTTCAGGTATTGGGTAGGATTAGGGATGTAGAATATGGTCATGCAGAATATGTGCTTTATAAGTACTAATAAACAGTCAATATGTTAATAATAGGCATGCTAATAAGAAACTAGTTAATAGTGAGAATTGGTCCCTATACTAAAGTGTTACCAAAAAATTATTAATTAAAATTACATTTAAAATAGTAGTAAAAAATATAAATATAATATTAGTTTAACAGTTTTGGGCACTACATTTTCCCCATACCATACCTGGCAGTGTACAGTAAGATTCTGGGTTTGAGAATGAGTAGAAAGAGAATCTCACCTTTTACGAGAGTGTGTTTGTCCGTGGGGGAAGAACGTGCAAGGACTCTGAGCTTGGGCCAGATCTTATCAATCCTCTCCTGCTCAATCTATAACACACACACATGCACATACACAGAGCTCAGACATCCATGATTCAGTTTAGTCTGTATTGGTTTGGTGCTGAGATGTCTGAAATTCAATTTTCACGAACCTCTCCTTTCTCATTCCTGATTCTTCGGTTGAAGTCTTTACCCTCCAGGCACAGAAAGTCATCCCCGGGCTGAATGATGCCACACTTGGCAGCAATAGCTCGTGCTGTGTTGATGTTGTCGCCGGTGACCATGCGCACAGTGATGCCTGCCCTCTGACACTTGCAAATGGCTTCAGGGACCTGCGGAGGGAGCAGAGAAATGCTTGAAAAGAGAAAACGCATTCCAAGGACATAGGATACATGTTCTCACTACATACTGTACCTCTGGTCGAACGGGATCCTCAATCCCGACGACAGCGATGCAGGTCAGATCGGTGACAATTTCAGCTTCATTATCCCAGTCAGGCTCGGGGTTGCAGGGAAGATCACGATAAGCGATGCAGATGGTTCGCAGGCCTTCACACGCCATGGGCTCGATCACTTTCTTCACCATCTCATCTCTGTCTCGTGGCTTGAAGTTTCGTGTTTCACCATTGGCACCAAGTATCGAGGAACACCTGAGGTAGAAAAAGAGAAAGCAGGAAGGACAAAAAGAGGTGTTTAATGACAACTAACAAAAGAAACAACAACATCTGAAGTTATGGTTATAATTCCAAGATCTTGTGATGTTTTACTAACTTTTTCAGAAGGATCTCAGAAGCTCCTTTGCTGTAGAGCCGGAAACTTCCATCCGGCATCTGCACCACAGTGCTCATGGACTTGCGTACAGAGTTGAAAGTGTAGACTTTGTAAAGCTTCTCCTCTGGGATCTGCTCTCTCACAGGGGCGTAGTCTCTCTTCAAGTCCAGCAGAAAGCCCAGCAGACCACACTCTGTCTTATTACCAACCTGCTTGGGCAGACCACCTTCCACATCTGGTGGCTGAAAGAGAATTGAAATGAAGCAAGGGACACCGAGAAGAGAAAATGAAAAAAAAAATGTATGAAAACGTTTCTACTTATATTTGACAAGCCAGTATAACAGTAGCTTCCCTCCTGTAAAAAAACATCTTACCAGCCTAAGTTGGCATGCTGGTCTCCCAGCCTGAACTGTAAATAATGTTTGTAATTTTAACAGTAAAATACAGTAAAATGCTGTAAAATTCTATGGTATGTCTGTTACTTGGTTAACGGCAAGTTCCCTTACTATATATGGTGAAAATCTTTAAAAGGGGACATTTTAAGTAATTTTACAGTAAAATAGTTAAATGTACAGACTTGGTTATCAATATATTATACAGGTACAAAACAGAGTAGTAGGATGTACTATTAAAATTATATCAGTTAATGGGATATACTTTTTTTGTTACAGTAAATTTAAGTTAATTCTGTAACCCTAAAATGGTGCTACCATATTTTTTATAGTAAAGTTCTGGCAACCACTGCTGTATGTTTTTACTGTAAGTTTCACAGATTGCACACAGGCAACTTGCCTGGTTTTAAAGGAGTTTTGGGCACTTTTCAGCTAAAAACTAGATTGGCCAGGCTGGGAGTCCAGCTAGACCATCTGAAGACCATTTTGGCCAGGAGGCATGCTAATAAGAAACTAGGAGGCTGGATTAAAAAAAAAAAAAATTATCAGTTTTTTTTTAATTAATCATATCCAATCTCTCACCATGATCTTGGAGGTATAGGCGCAGTTGATAGATATGGCATTGACAATCATCTCCAGGGTGTTATGGTGGATCTGGCTGGGGTCCGGTATCTCACGGAAGTGCTGGTCATTGATGTAGGACTGTACTACAGTCATGCGGTTGGTGGTGAGGGTGCCGGTCTTGTCGGAGCAGATGGCAGTGGCATTGCCCATTGTCTCACAGGCATCCAAGTGACGCACTAGGTTATTGTCCTTCATCATTTTCTGAATTAACAGCAACAGAAGATTTGGGTGGTGAAAAAACGGTGTTGACAAAAGCAAAACATGCTAAATATATTACATGAAAAAACATCCAGAGAAAATTTTTTATTTTGTTCAAATTTGCTTATGTAATCTGTTAGCTCTACAATACATTTAATTTGCTGTTTACACACACACACACACAGTGCACCTGTTCTCTCTCACCTTAACTGAATAAGCCAGGGAGATGGTAACAGCAAGGGGAAGACCCTCAGGCACAGCTACCACCAGCACAGTCACACCGATGATAAAGAATTTGACAAAATACTGCACGTAGATGGGCGTGCACTCAGGCAACCAGCTCCGCCCCTCCACCACAAATGTCTCGATCACAAAGTACAGCACCAGAATGATAACTGTAATGGCTGACATTACAAGACCTACAAACAAAACCGCATAATAAATAATCTTCATGATACTTGCAGATTAATCTTAAATCAATCTATTGACTATAAATACAGTAACAAATAAAGTAACGGATTACTTATCAAAATTACAGTATAATATCTGATTAATTTCTAATTATTTAATTTATTTATTACGGAAAAATAAAAATAGGGGTATATTTTAGGTGCCATAAACTAAACTTTTCTTTGACTTTTTTTATGAGAATTATTTGTGTGCATGATAAACTATTGTGATTGTGAGAGAAAACACTTATGCTTAACATGTAACATGTAACAAAATACATAACACTTTTCATAAAAAGTAACAACATTACAAAGTTGTGGCCTAATGGTTAGAGAGTTGGACTTGTAACCCGAAGGTTGCACAAATTGCAAATATGGGTTACCATACTTGTCACAACACTTTCACTTTTTTCACTTTCAGTTAGTGGTCAGTAGCTGCTCAGTTAACATTGTGAAAATTTAGCACAAAAGTAACTTAACACATCAATTTCAATAACAAGTAGCAAATTCATTAGTCAGCACTTCTCAGTAAAGGCGAGAATATGTCAAATTAATATGTTACATTCCATGAAAAATAACAACGTAACACAATTAGCCGGTACTTTCTCTCAGTTAACAGTGACAAAATGTAGCACAACATGTAACATGTTACTTTCCATAAAAAGTAACACAATTAATCACTTACACTCCATTATTGGTGAGAATATGTAACAAAAGTAGCACAATGTGTTACATTCCATGAAAAATAACATTGTAACACAATTAGCTGCTACTTCCTCTGAGTTAACATTGAGAAAATGTAGCACAAGCATTTAACATGTTACTTCCCATAAAAAGTAACAAAAGTAACAAATATATAACAAAAGTAACACAATGTGTTACATTTTATAAAAAGTAACAATGTAACAATTGGCGAGGGCTTCCTTTCAGTTAAGAGTGAAAAATGTAGCACAAAATGTATCATGTAAACATTTAACACTTACTTTCCATAGAAAGTAACAACGTAATACAATTAATCAGCACTTCCACTCAATTCATTGAGAGAATATGTAACAAAAGTAACACAATAAGTTAAATTCCATAAAAAATAACAATGTAACACAATTAGCGAGTGCTTCTTTTCAGTTAACAAAAGTAAAATATGTTACTTTCCATAAAAAAAATCTAGCACAAATAGTTACTTTTTAAAGAAGTAATGGAATATTGTCACACTTTACTTTTAAAAGTAACATTCTTCAACACTGAATATATCTTTGCATGAGGATAAAAAACAAAAGACAAGAGGATCAGCAAAGCAGAGTGTAAGTGTGTCAGAGTGAGGTGATTTATCTTTCCATATGACATCACCTCGTAATTGGCCACATGAAGTCCCACGCACCTGCTTTGCCAATCTGTACAGCAAGTTTGGTGAGTTTGCCCTGCAGTACAGACTTCTCCTTCTTGGGCACGTTGGCTTTTTTCTTCTCTTTCTCCTCCACTTCTCCGCCCTCTGCACTCTTCAGAGGCTGCATCTCCATGGCAACGGCTCCATCCTGCTTTTTGGCTGGTGAGTGGGACATGAGTTAGCGTCACTACATATGGACAACAAATCTGTCGTGTCACAACTCAGAGCATCGCGAGAGTCTTCCGGCAAGAACGAGACTCATTCAAAGTTCTGAATACCTTTATGACACACATAGAATATTTACGCTCAAAGTGGCATACACACATACTCTGGACACACAACGAAGGAAAGCAAGACAAATGTGGACACGCATAGCATAAACACTGACATCGGTTATAGTCGGACCACAACAAGTTCTCGAGTTCTACAGAGCTGGCACTATTCAGCAAAATGTGTTTGGGTGCTTATCCTCGACACCGGAAACAATGAACAACGGTTACACTGTACTACGCAAGGAAGCAGTCGTCATGTATGCCGTTAAGCATCCGTGTGTGATGTTACACAAAGAGTGGCTGTGTGCATACATGGTATTAGCGCTTATATTTCCCGTTGCTAACCTCATATAGCAACAACGTAGCTGAGGAGTCCACAGAAATTTTCCACAACAAGAAAACAATTAACCCCTCATTCTCTCCATTCATCTACTCTACTATCCCTGTGGTACCTTTATTTTGATTGGTCTCCACAGCTGCCTCTGGCTGCTTGCCTGTGAGAGAGAAAGACAGAGAGAGAGAGAGGGAACAAGGGAATAAAAAGCGACAGACAGAGACAGAATGAGAGACAGGGCACACAGTGTTCTTGAGTGGGGAAAATGAGAGCGCACAGAACTATGGAAACAGACACACAAATGCAAACATATAGCACACACATTGAGCTGGGCTCTTGAACTGTGACATTTTAAACCTGTGAATGCACTCCACCACAATTCTGGGCTAATCCAACTCTACTTAGTGCTGATTGTAGTCACTTCATCTATGCTGAAGGTGTTCTGTAACTCAAGTGGACTCAGAACAACAGGGCTGCGGATTACGTACCATTGGTGATGCCACTTGGTTTGGCCATAGTTGTTAGTGAGTAACTACTGTCCTCTGATTGGATAGAGAAACAAAGGGATAATGCAGGTGTGGAGGAGGGGGATCGTGGGAAATTGTTAGGATTGGGTGGTGGTAGAGGTAAGAAAAAGAGAAATTAATGATGGTCATGTGGTACTAAGGAAAACTGAAAAAAGACAAAACTGCATGTACGTAGATTGTTAATATGAAAGTACTGGCAGTACTTCATCAGTTTCCTACAATGTGACGTTCCTGCAAGACGATCCTGCTTCATGTAAAAGATTGTTTTCTAATTCTTTTGTAACAGTTATTTGGGCTGTCAACATTTTAGTAAATGAGTAAATTAATAATCTAGTTAATTTAACGTGATTCATTATCAGCAAAGATTCACAAGCTATAGAATGGAACAGAACGGACGGATCTTGAGACATGTTTTTAACTACATTTCACTTGTAGTGTCTTAAAATGCAGCACTCATGGTGCATGAAAAAATGTGAAACAGCGCAACGGCCAAAGACATAAATCAATAATAATAATAATTAAAAAAATAATAATAAAAAATACTCCAGAAAGAATAAAAGCACACGTCTAGTGTGAATCTACTTTGTGAAGCAAACAATATATTGATCTACTCAATGAGTTACTCTTATACAATATCTTTGAATTACCATCATTTGGAGACTTTTCTCTTCAAATATTTATATATGCAACAGAGCTATTATAGTTTACTAAAACTAAAGCTGAAACTAAAATATAAAAAAATGAAATTAAATAAATGTTAACGGAAAAAAAATGTTTACAACTTTTTTTTTAAATTTCAGCTAGTTGCCAAGGCAACATTTCTCATTTTAATTTAGTCTAACTAATTAATTTAGTTTTCATTTAAACTAACGCTTAAATAAAAATGAATAAAAACTATAAACACATATTTATAATTGGTAGTCCTAATTGTTATACCTGTAGTTTTTATAGCCTCCTGTTAAATGAGACACCACATAGAATTTTTATATATTAAAAATTCATACTGCAGGACTGCAAAAACCTTTGGAAAAAAAGAAAGAAAACTAAATATACACTATCCCTCATGCATACATATAGATTTTAACTTCAAATCTTAAATGGTGAATAAAAAAGGTTTGTTGGCATTATTTGTCATATGTGCATTCTTATAAAAGTACAGACTACTCTACAATTATGGGTATCAGAAAAGATGCATAAATATTACAAATCACATTTGCAAAAGCAAAAAAGACAATTCAGTTGTGATTGTGAGGCAGTTCTAAGTCTGTTCGGTGGCTGATGACACATATAGAGCGATTCAGTGGGACAGTAACAGAACATGGCGCCACTTCATCCTTCATCCACCCACATCCAACCTTTGCTCTATCTCCCTCTCTCTGTTTCTCTCTTTCGTTCCCTTTCTCTGAATAATTAATCAGCCTACTCCAATATAACTCCTAATCCTTCACTATTCCCTTCTCTCCAGTCTCCTCTCTGTTGGCTGCAGGTTAAATTACCCATGACATGAGCCATAAAGTTTGCAGCAGTGGAGCTCTGCTTGTCTCTCTTGCTCGTCTTACCATTCATAAATATTCCTGCAGGCTCCAAGCCCACTGGTCCTCCATTCATATCCAACCCATCTCTCCCTTATGTAAGGATCCCCCACCCCCTCTCTCTCTATTCTCTACTGTCTGGTAGTGCTACTCACAATGTGTGCAGTCCTTCTCACTACATCCTACACCAGCCTCAGCATTTTCTATTACGGTATTACGGTATGTTTTGGTTGGTGTTTGATGCTCTTCCTTCTTACACCTACCTTTCTTTTCTTTCTTCTCCTCCTCCCCTTCCCCAGCTCCCAGTAGAGTGAATATGATGCCAGTCTGAGAGTTGACTCCAACTGCGGTCACCAGCATCCTGCCTGATCCCTCCATCACATGGGTACCTGAGAAAGAAAGATTGAGAGAGAGACAAACAGAGTAAGGAAAAGACACAATGTAGACATGAATGATTGATATTTTATTGTAGCATTAATGGAAAGACTCCCCAAAAATTCTGCAAAGGTTGTCCCAACTAGCCTCATAGAACTAGTGTAAATAAATAATTTCCTGTTGAACACTGTTGGCGATATGTGGCCTCGCAGCATGCACTGCAGCATCAATAAATTATGTTCTACCCTTCTGTTTCAAAGATTGTCATTTCATATCAAGCCAACATAAAACTACATGTAATAGTAAAATCATACCTTTTATATTTATGCCAGTAAATATATTTAGAATGTCTAAGTTAATAAAAAAACAATGCATTTAAATAATTGTAATTTTCTTGTAAAGTGACCTAGAGCTTTGTAATAATATGTTTCATGTAAAATTCATTTTTTAAAAGCTCAAGTTCATTTTACAAGAAAGTGACAAATTTCTATAATAACAACAACGTTTAAATTAATAAAAAAATAGTACAATGAAATAATTAAACATTTCTTGTAAAGTGACCTTGAGCTTAATAATAATAAGTTTAATGTTTCAATGTTCAAAGCCACTTTACAAGAAAATGACCAATTTCTATAATAATAATAATTTATATAGTGCTTTTCCAAAGATTAAGGTTGCTTTACAAAAAAAAAAGAAACTACAATTTTCTCTAATTTTCTAAATAAGTAACATTTTACATTTAGTGCACAAATTCAAACTGGCTAAACAAAGTAACGTTACCGAAGACAGTTGTAAGACAGCTCATATTTCTGTGATTATTTTCACATTTTCTCAACAATTCCTTTTAGACATTGACTATTTATCTTCAAATACAGACAGCCTGGCCTGCTGCAGTTCATCATTAGCATTTGACTCCAGACCGCACACAACAACAGCCTCCATACATCAACTTCACAAAAATATCATTAGGATATTATTCAATAATATCATCAGTAGAGCAGGACAGCCTCATGAAGAGAATGGAGTTATCATCCCAAGTGTCTAAGAATAGCATGAAGGAAGGGAGAGGTCATGCACCAGTGCTCACAGCAGGAAACAGAGATTCTTAGATCTAATTATCAACATCTGGATGCCACTGCAGCATCTCAGTTATTCTGACACACAGAATGCGGACGCTCCGAGTGCTTTGTGCTGCTGACTGACAGCTGAAGGAGCGCAGCCGAGAGGGGAATACAAAATTACTTCAGACACTTTCAAGAAAGATTGACCAGTCTCTTAAGGAGAGTGATGGGCATCAACCTTTAACAATGATTTTACTTTAATACACAACAACTTTTTTGCTACTAGCATAAAGGCCTATTCACACTAAGAATGATACCTATACAAATAATTATAGCCATAACAATATTAGCATTCACACCTACAGACAATATTGTTCTGTTTGTTATAAATGCTGCGGTTACTGTATAATATCTGCCACTCTAAATGCTCAAGCTCTTTAAAGTCAGTGGATTCTGACTGACTGTCAATATTTTTATTGTTCATGAATCATAAGCCGAAAAAAATGTCCTTAAAATGATTCCAGCGAGCAATATCATTATAGTTGTGTTATGGACTTTTAAACAAATATTTAGGCGATTGTTAAAACTTAATGGCCCGGTTTCACAGACAGGGCTTAGCTTAAACCAGGACTAGGCCATAGTTCAATTGGGATTTTAAAGTAATTTTTATAAACATGCTTTAGAAAAAAACATTACTGGTGTGCATCTTGAGACAAAACAAGGGCACTGACATATTTCAAGATCAATCATTGCAAGTTTCTTTCAGCTGAAACAGCTCAGACTTACATTTTAGTCGGGAACTAGGCTTAAGCCTTGTCTGTGAAACCGGGGGTATAGGTATAGTTAACGTTAAAATCCTTGGTTTATTGGTGAATCATTGGTGATTATTATATACAATCCACCCACCATTATATATGGTCTAGCAACATCTACTGTATGATCCACACATGCTTACCAGAGAGAAGCATGGGGTCCTTTTCGACTGACTTCCGCACATGGTCTGATTCACCAGTTAAAGAGCTCTCGTCGATTTTCAGGTCATTTCCCTGAATCAGGACCCCATCAGCAGGTAGGAGGTCACCTGAGAGAGGAAACAAAAGTGGGACAAATAAATATCCCGTGATCTGTAGAGCATCCTTAATATCCCAAAAAGCATTCACTGTTCCTACCAATAATGCTACATTGCACAGGATACATTATCAACAAATGAGTTCCCATTGTGATTTGTGGAAATGTGAACATTACTCTAAAAATGTCCCAGTGTTAATCCACACCTTCCTCATATTGGATGGGTTAAGCCTAATCTCCGCATTTATTTCATTCTCCGGGCTCAGCAAAACAAGAAACTGACCGTATTTGACCTGGGCCATGTCCCCAACCACCATCTCGGCGACGGGGATCTGGATGACGTTTCCATTGCGCACCACAGCGAATCGCTGCTCCAGCTCGATGCGGCTCTGCAGTCCCCGGAACTGTTTCTCTTTACTCCAGTCGTTGAAAGCCGTCACCAGCACCACGCAAATGACGGAGAGTAGGATGGCTGCACCTTCGATCCATCCTGCCTCTGCCTCCCCCTCATCTTCAGTTCCTCCTGACCCATTTCCACAACCTGCAGAGGTTAGAAGTTCATTATTACATGGGCGTCTGGAATACTTGATTCTGATTAATCAATTGCAGTTGATGCTGGAAGCAGATGCTTTCCAGATGAAGTGCTCTTTAACAGACATCTTGGAGACGTATGTGTGCTATCCTTGGACCCCATAGCTATACTTGGGCACTCTTTTTGTTGCCTGATTAGAGATTATAGAACATCACTTTATATGTATTTATTCGTAAACATCGAAATATGCTAATAAATGTCATTTAAACACCACATCATAGGCATAAAATATCTTTTAAACAATTTAAACAAAACACATTATATTAAAGAACCAAAAAATGGTAAATTCTTTTGTGTTTTCAATTAGCAAGCTAACTAGCATAGCACAATCTGGTTAAGGAAAGCTCTTTTGATTAGCTAGACTAAGATATCATGACAACACACTCATTTTTCCAAAAGGGTCTGGCTGCAGCTGGCGCTTGCACTCTCAGACTTGCACTCTCAGGCTTGCACTCTCAGACTTGCACTCTCAGGCTTGCACTCTCAGACACTTGTACTTCCACTAGCGACGTCACTTGCAGTCTTTTTTATTTTGTTTTATTTATTGATTACTTTTTGTTTGAATCTCTCAACATTTTACAACAGTAGCTAGGTGGTGAAGACAAGAGAAAATAAACTAAATTACGAAGTCACTTGCAATCGCCACTTGCACTCTCCGATACCTGCGACGTCACTTGCAATCGACACAAATCTTGCGTGTTGCCAATGGAGACAAGACGCTGTGGTGGTGATTTAATGATTATTTATTTTATTTATTTATTTATTTAGTCATTTAGCAGATGCTTTTATCCAAAGCGACTTACAAACGAGGACAACAGAAGCAATCAATTGTAAAACACGTAATGTAGCTTAATGGACAAAGTCAATGATATAAAAGAGCTGTAGACAGTTTATTCTATATGGAAAAACCCTTAACATTTATTCTGGGCTCACCTGCTTGCCTGTATATTAGTTATGTAGGCTATATTTTAATAATGAAGAGCATTGAGTTTGGTCTTTATCATCTTAGTCCATTATCCCACATTATGCCATGTTTTGCGGTGTGGGAGGAAAAATACTATATACATATTCATTATATAAATAAACTGTATATTTAATTTGATATTTTAATAGCATCTTAATACATTAAGCCATATTAAGTGTTTATGTTTTTCTACAGGAGGAAAACGCTTAACGAGAGACTTTGTGCATTGCGTTCATATTCTGCTGTTCTGTGGCCACGGATTTGCGGGTCTTGTCTTTTTCTTGCAGGACCCTGTTATTGTACTAAATTAGTTTTAATCATTAAATCACCACCACAGCGTCTTGTCTCCATTGGCAACACCCACGATTTGTGTCGATTGCAAGTGACGTCGCAGGTGTCGGAGAGTGCAAGTGGCGATTGCAAGTGACTTCGTAATTTAGTTTCTTTTGTCTTGTCTTCACCACCTAGTTACTGTTGTAAAATATTAGGAGATTCAAACAAAAAGTAAATCTATCAATAAATAGAACAAAATAAAAAATAATAAAGACTGCAAGTGACGTCGCTAGCGGAAGTGCAAGTGTCTGAGAGTGCAAGCCTGAGAGTGCAAGTCTGAGAGTGCAAGTCTGAGCGTGCAAGCGTCAGCTGCAGCAAGACCCTTCTCCATTTTTCAGATACTGAGAAAAGCCTTTCTTTAATGTCTTTCAAATTGCTCTGTGGCCTCTGTCTCGTTTCATACCAACACAAGTTTGCTGTCTTCTTGCAACTCAGAATGATTAGCTGACTGACAAGCTTGTGCACTTCATTATTATTTTTTTACATACATTGATACATACATCAATTCTAAAGTTTGGAAGAATATTTTTAAAGAAATGATTACTTTAATTGAGCAATTAAATTGATTAAAATGACAGTAAAAGTCATTTATAATGTTACAAAACATTTCTATTTCAAATATTAACTGAATCAAAAGACATTTAAAAAAATGCTAATGTCAATGTCTAAAAAACATAGTGTATTATCATGATATCTTAAAGAATGTGAAAAAAACATTGCTGCTTTTACTGTTTATTGATTAAATAAATGCAGCCTTGCTGAACATGAGACTTTTAAAAACATGAAAAAAACATTTTAATGTTAGTGTATGGTAAGCATAAAACATTTGATAGATGACTAGATGCTCAGCAGTCTCCAGTTAAAGCGAGAAAACAAAAATATCACTTGGAAGAACAACAAACTGGTAAGAGACAGAAAAACTGGATAGGAAAACCTTAAAATAGAAGAAGACTTTTTATATTGTAGCTACATATGTTATGCTAACTAATTTATAGAAAAAGTGACTTGGACTGCAGATTAATATTAATATATTAATATTATATATGAATTAATGTTGTAATACTGTTGCAGTTTTTATACTGCAGTGCTAGTAGATACAAGAAATAATAAAATTAAAAAAAATTATATTAAAAATCAGTTTTTAATGTTAGCAAATAGCCATGTAATTAATAGGATAATGTGCAGTACAGCTGGCAACATTAAAAATCGACCTTTTCAGAAATCTGTTCATCCTGCCAGGGTTTATTTTGCAATAATGCTTGGCTGGTTGTACATTATGCCTTCCTTATGCAGAGTGACATAGGTTATGCTGTTATCAATGATTTCCTCAGAGTTTGACTGTTTTGCTATTGCAGGGGATTTTAATATTCACATAGATAATGCAGAAATCAAAACTATAAGAGAAATTATAACTGTTTTAAACACTTTTGACCTGATTCAGCATGTGCATGGACCCACAAACAATCAAGGACACACTCTATAGATTTACTCTTATTATTTCATCCATTGTTATTAAGGATGTAGCACTATCTGATCACTTTTGTATTTTCTTTGATATATTGATCTCTGCTACCATGGAATCTAGATCTGTCTCTGTCAGAAAGAGATGCATTAACGAGAACACTAGTGTGCTATTATGAAGGCTATATCTTTAACACCAAGCATTTCTGCAGACTCTGTTGATCTTCTCCTTGATTCCTTTAACTCAAAAGTTAAGAATGTTATTGATGATATTGCTCCTGTGAAAGTCAGCAAGAAGACTGGCAGACAAAAATCACCTTGGAGAAAATCAACAGCAGTACAGTATGAAAAGACAATGCAGAAAAGCTGAGCGGATGCGGCGGAAGACGAAACTTGAAATTCACTATAGCATCTATAAAGACAGCCTTCATGCTTTCAATGTGGAGCTAGCCACAGCCAGACAGACCTTCTTCTGAAACCTTATAAACAGTAGCTTAAACAACACTCGCACTGTTTTTGCTACTGTTGAGAGACTGACAAACCCTCCAAGTCAGATTCCCAGTGAAATGCCCTCCAACAGCAAATGCAACGAGTTTGCTTCCTTCTTTGCTGAGAAGATCAATAATATCAGAAAGGCGATTAGCACATCCTCAAGTTATGCAGAGGTTAGACAGATTCGACCGCAATGTCAAAAAGAAGTTACTATGACTGTTTTTGAAGCAATTGATAGCAAAATTTTGGAAGAAATAGTACAGCACCTTAAATCGTCAACCTGCTATCTTGACACACTTCCCACATCTTTTAAAAAAAAGTGTTCTTAACTGTTTAAGCAGATCTCTTAAAAATGGTGAACGCTCACGTCTTTCTGGGACTTTTCCAAACTCCCTGAAAACCGCAGTTGTTAAGCCCCTTCTGAAAAAGAGCAATCTTGATAACACCATATTGAGCAACTATAGACCAATATCAAATCTTCCTTTTATCGGCAAGATTATTGAAAAGGTCGTTTTTAATCAGCTGTTCAACTACTTAAACTCAAATGGATACCTGGACAATTTTCAATCTGGTTTCCGACTGCATCACAGCACAGAGACAGCACTCATTAAGATAATAAATTATATTCACTTTAATTCTGATTCTGGCAAAATATCAGTGCTGGTACTACTAGATCTTAGTGCTGTGTTTGACACTGTCGATCATAACATACTTCTAGAGAGACTGGAAAACTGGGTTGGGCTTTCTGGGATGGTAATCAAATGGTTCAGGTCATATTAGAAGGGAGAGGTTATTATGTGAGTGTAAAAGAGCATAAGTCTAAGTGGACGTCCATGAAATGCGGAGTCCCACAAGGCTCAATTCTTGCACCGCTCTTGTTTAGCCTGTATATGCTCCCACTAAGTCAAATAATTAGAAAGAAACAAATTGCCTATCACACCTATGCTGATGATACCTTTACCTAGCCTTATCGCCAAATGTCTACAGCCCCATTGACTCCCTCTGCCAATGCATTGATGAAATTAACAGTTGGATGTGCCAGAACTTTCTTCAGTTAAACAAGGAGAAAACTGAAGTCATTGCATTTTGAAACAAAGATGAAGTTCTCAAGGTGAATGCATACATTGACTCTAGGGGTCAAACACCTAAAAATCAAGTCAAGAATCTTGGTGTGATTCTGGAGACAGACCTCAGTTTCAGTAGTCATATCAAAGCAGTCACTAAATTAGCATACAATCGTCTCAAAAACATTGCAAGAATTAGATGTTTTGTTTGTTCATAATGGGTTTTCATGTTTTTGAATCATCGCTCTGGCCTGACAGGGCATCATCACAATATGGTAAGGGGCGTAACATTTCCGTCACACGTTTGAGGTATTCGGCCAATCACAACGCACTGGATAGCTGGCCAATCACAGCACACCTCACTTTTTCAGACCGATGAGCTTTGTAAAAATCGACACGTTTCAGAAAGGCGGGGCATAGAGGAGAAACAATAATGTACAGTATGTGGAAAATAATGTGTTTTTTTAACCTTAAACCGCATAAACACATTTCATTACACCAAATACACAAAATAATGTTCTTTTTAGCAGCATCATATGACCCCTTTAAGATTGATTTTAAAGTAATTTTACTCTTTTATAAATCACTCAATGGCCTAGGACCTAAATACAGTACATTGCAGAATGCTCACTGAATATAAACCTAACAGACCACTCAGATCTTTAGGATCGAGTCAGTTAGAAATACCTAACTGGGTTCAAACAAAACAAGGGGAGTCCGCTTTCAGCTATTATGCCGCCTGCAGTTGGAATCAGCTTCCAGAAGAGATCAGATGTGCTAAAACATTAGCCACATTTAAATCCAGACTCAAAACTCATGTTTAGCTGTGCATTTATTGAATGAGCACTGTGCTATGACCAAACTGATTGCACTGTATTATATGTATAATCATTTTCTATTTTTAACTGTTTTAAATGTATTTTAAATCAATTTTTTGTGTTTTATTGTTGTGATGATTTTTAATGATCATTTTACTTCCTTTTACATAAAGCACCGCCTGCAGTTGGAATCAGCTTCCAGAAGAGATCAGATGTGCTAAAACATTAGCCACATTTAAATCCAGACTCAAAACTCATGTTTAGCTGTGCATTTATTGAATGAGCACTGTGCTATGACCAAACTGATTGCACTGTATTATATGTATAATCATTTTCTATTTTTAACTGTTTTAAATGTATTTTAAATCAATTTTTAAATCATTTTGAATTCCTTGTTTTATTGTTGTGATGATTTTTAATGATCATTTTACTTCCTTTTACATAAAGCACTTTGAATTACCATTGTGTATGAAATGTGCTATATAAATAAACTTGCCTTGCTTTGCCTTGCCTTATGCAGAACTCAATGTGCGATTGTATAAAACTTTGAGAGTTCTTTGCCACAAAGATACATGTTTTACTGTTTATTTTTCCAGAGAACCCCTAAACTCGTTTTCTCTTTCTCTGCATTCCTGCTTGACATCCTCTTTTCTCACCTTCATTCTC